AAGGTCCCACAGCTAGCTAAGGTCAGAACCCCAGACTGATGGCAAGGATTCTGAACAACTGTGAGTGTATGTGTGCTGTGCAATCTAAGAGAATAACATGATAATAAGCAGATCCATTATTAAAAATGCATGTGTGTGTTTCAGAAACTCCCTGTGTATTTTAGTATAATCATATTTGGCATGATGAAATTAGACATTTATGTTTATGAGAGCCACACTAATGAAAATATACAACTGGCCAGACATGGTGGCTCACGCCTGTAATCCCAGCACTTTGGGAGTCCAAGGTGGGTGGATCATGAGGTCAGGATTTCAAGACCAGTCTGGCCAAGATGGTGACACCCTGTCTCTACTAAAACTACAAAAATTGGCCAGGCACGGTGGCTTCCGCCTGTAATCCCAGCACCTTGGGAGGCCGAGGCAGGCAGATTACCTGAGGTCAGAAGTTTGAGACCAGCCTGGCCAACATAGTGAAACCCCATCTCTACTAAAAATACAAAAAGTAGCCGGGCGTGGTGGCACACGCCTGTAATGCCAGCTACTCGGGAGGCTGAGGTAGGAGAATTGCTTGAATCCAGGAGGCGGAGGTTGCAGTGAGCCAAGATCACACCACTGCACTCCAGCCTGGCCGACAGAGCGAGACTCTGTCTCAAAAAATAAAAATAAAAATAAAAAATTAGCCGGGCATGGTAGCAGGTGCCTGTAATCCCAGTTACTTGGGAGGCTGAGGCAGGAGAATCGCTTGAGCCCAGGCAGCAGAGGTTACGGTCAGCCGAGATCAGTCACTGCACTCCAGCCTGGGCAACAGAGTGAGACTCCATCTCAAAAAAAAAAAAAGAAAAAAGAAAATGTACAACTCAATATATACATTCTCTAACTGTGAATGCATGCAAATATTACTATTTAAGCCTCCTGGATCCTCTGTGTCCCAGGTTGGGATCTGCATCCCTGGCTGGTCCCAGAACAGACCTTTGCAACTGTAGATGTTATCACTTCATAGGCTGGTCTTCTTGGGCTACAATGTTACTTTGACCAAGATTAGACATTAAACGTTTTCTAAAAACGTTGGTTAGGCCAGTCTTACCCACATTTAACTGGCTTTTCTGCATCTTCTTTAAAAATAGTTTGAAAAAGTTTGTGAAAATTGAATTCTGATTCTCCCAGCATTTGTCTAACTAAGGGGAGGAGGTGTTTATTGGCCTGGAGGGTTGCAGAGGTCAGACAGTAGCTTGTCTTAATTAAAGTACTATGGGTCCCCCCTCAATTGAGCAATTAGCCTAGTGAACTCTGAATTTCATCGTCCCATTCCACCTGCTTCTCTGACAGCTGTTCTGTATCCTCTCAGGGAAGTAATCTGTGTTTAATTTTGACTTTAAATGAGAAACTGAAATTCACAAGCGTATATTTTGTACCTATTTTGTATTATGGCAAAATACCCATAATGAAATTTATCATCAACTATTTTTAAGTGTACAGTTCAGTGGTATTAAGTTCATTTACATTGTTGTGCAACCGTCACCCCCATCCATCTCCAGAACTTTCTCGTCTTCCCAAACTGAAACTCTGTCCCAATTAAATAATAACTCCCATCCCCCACTCCTCTAACCCCTGCTAACCATCCTTTTACTCTCTGTGTCTGCCAATTTGGTTACTCTAGGTACCTCATATAAGTAGAATCATACAATATTTGTCCTTTTGTGATTTGCTTATTTCACTGAGCATAATGTCCTCAAGGTTCATCCATGTTGTCGCACATGTCAAAGTGTCCTTCTTTTTAAGACTGAATAATATTCCATTGTGCAGCTGAACTGCATTTTGCTTATCTATTCTTCTGTGGATGGACACTTGTGTTGTTTCCACATTTTGGCTGTTGTGAATATGCTGCCATGAACACGGGTGGGCAAATATCTGGTTGAGTCCTTGCTTTCAATTATTTTGGGTATATAACCAGAAGTGGAATTGCTGAAATTATAATTCTATTTCTAATTTTTTGAGGAACACCATACTATGGTGTTTATTTTTTTTAAGGGCTACATAGAATGGACAAAATTATGGTTAAGTCTAAAAGAAAGATAAAAATAAACCTAGGTTTCATGACGAATTTGAAGTAATTCACCAATGGGACTGCAGTTTTGCCTTTTCTTTCTCAGTTATCCACTTACTTGAGAAGTTTTCTTTTGTAAGCTTTCTTCTCTTTAAGAATCCAAAGTAAGGTCTAGTATTTTTAGCAGATAATGGGTATTATATTAAAGAGTAAATAGGAAAGGAAGAAAGCTGTATGAGATGCGCTGTTTGGAGAAGATTCTGAAAGAGCTGAGTTTATTGCTCGACTCTCCATCTCCCTGGTGTATTCACCAAAACTGCACTATAGTCTTTCATATGTGCAGCCATTTGTTCCCTCGACAGGCATGAAGCTTCTGCCGTCTGCTCAGGGACCATGCGGCATAACACTTATTCTTCACCGTCTTGTTCTGTAGATACCTGGTTTCGTGTCTTACTGCTCCAACCCACACAGTGCATGCTTGAGCAACCCCAAGAATCAGATGGTGAGCAAGATGAGTGTGAGGGCTTCTGTGGGCTGGTGAGGCCCTGGAGACCTACAGAGCTCAGAGCTTATCTAAGGGGCAACCACTCATCCCTCCTGGCTACTTATTGCCCTGTGGGAATGCAGGTCCAATTTTCCAGATCTTCCTAATTTCCAGGAAAAACAAGATATCCAGCTTCTAATGTAAAATCTTCCAGTTTTAAATTTTAGCCACTTATTCAGAAAAAAAAATTAAACATGGCACAGGCCAAATAAAAGCATATTTGCAGATCCCTGCAGCTGGAGAGCCATGAGCTTTGACCTCTGCACTCATTGAAACTCTCTCCGGGAACCCTCAGGACATATCTGAGAAGCGTCTTGTTTTCCCCGCGGTGTCTATCAAGGGGGAAAGAATGAAAGAAGAAATGGAGGTAGAGGTGCATCTCCAGGAAGCTAATGAAGCCATGGCTTCTTGGCTCCTTCTTTCCCTGGGGCCTTGTGTTTTGTAATGTTTTCCTTGATTAGGATTGCTGTGCCTTTCCACTCTGGCTTCCCCTTGTCTAGTGTGGCGAAACTACAAAGGGAAAGCTGAGTTGAGGAAACATTCGGTTTGAGTTGAGAGGGGTATATTTTTGTGGTTAGCACAAGTAGTGCCTTGAGCTGCAGCAAGGCTGCTCCCCTCTGGCCATTGTCTGGCATAAGGTGAGAAGTTTCGGGGGCCAAATGATTGGATGCACCCAGAGCCCAAGCCCCAGATTCCACGCCATATCTGGAATCCTGGAATTTCCTGCCCCACACCTGGAGCCTGCATCAGAGCCTGCTTGGGGCCCTCATCTCTATCTACCTTTCTAAGGACAACAAACTTCACTGCTGGTGAGTTTACTGGTACTCCAAGAGGTGGCCAAGAGGCGACTGTCTACAGGGAGTGTGGATATAACTCGGGTCTGCATACATGTGAGGCCTGGCAAGGCGCAAAGTGCAGGATGGAGCCTGGGGTGGGTAAAGGAGGTGAGAGGTCAGGCTTCCATGGGAATTCTAAATCCAAACCTGGCCTTTAAGCTCATTATAAGGGCATAGTTTTCATAGAAGGAGGAGAGAACACCTTTACTTAACCATTCATTAGCGTTCTTTATGCTATTTAAAGCCTTTACACATTTAGACATTTGGTGTGTATAGGCCATTTGTACTCAAGCCCAGGGCATCAGAAATATTAGAAGTGCACCTGGGTCATAGTGATTTTGCCCATAGTTGTTTTTGTCACTACTGCTGTGTAAGTAATGCTCCAAAACTTAGTGGCATGAAACAATCATTTTATTATGCTCATGGATTTTGTGGGACAGAAATTTGGACAGGGCACAGCTTGTCCCTGCTCAGCAACTTCTGGGAAGCTGGGAAGACTCCACGGTGGGGGTGACCCTACTGACAGGGGCTGGAATCAAACGGAGGCATCCACACTCATGTCTGGTGGTTGACGCTGGCTGCCAGTGGGGATTGTAGCTAGGGCTGTCGGCTGCACCCCCTAAACATAGCCCAGGCTTCCTCAAAGCTTGGGGGCTGCAGAGAAGTTAGACTTCTTCTATGAGAGTCAGAACACCAAAGAAGTATTCCAGGGACCAAAGCCATAGCCACATCACGTTTGTGACCTTGCATTCTGCTGGTTACAACCAAGTCACAGTCGCACCCGGATTCAAGAGGAGAGGTAGACCCACCTCTCAATGTGGGGAGTATCAAAGCATTTTGGGGGGGCCATGTGTTAACCACCACACAGGTTAAAATATTGCCAGCCATCGTGGTGTTGGATATATATCTATATATATTTTCCAGGAATATATCTAATGGCAATTCAAAGAGCATTTCAAGGATATTTGAAATTCTCTGAAATTTTATAGTTACACTTGAAAGAAACTTAGTAAAGGTTTTCCTCATATTTGACAAAAATTCTAAAATTTATGTCACTACCAGTCATGAATTGTTTTAGTCATGAATTTTCAAAGCTGAAACTTTTCTGAAACATTAACAACAAAAATTGTTTTTCATCAAACGTGCTATAGGAAAGACGACTTCTAGCTTTCTACTCTCTATAGAAAATATCACAAAGGTGTTACCATGTGGAGAGGTGATGAGGAGTGTGCTACCCAAAAAGCGGTGTTTCAGGCTCTTGTATAATCACATGAACATCTTTAATAAGATTCTGGATACAAGAATTTAAAGTAGTAATTAGTCTCAAAAAAAAAAAAAAAAAAAAAACAAAACAACCAACATGGGTTAGAGCAGTCCAGGAACACTTCATGGAAGCTGAAAGAAATGGAATTTCAGTAGAGCGAATGGAGGCTGGGGACAGGACTGAGTCAACTGGTCAACCAATGTTGGCAGTTACACCTGATATCAGTTCTGATTGGCTCGGTCTCCACCCTCATTGGTTAGTGCCTGCCATAGCAGTTGGTAAATGTTTTGCATATCATCCCTGCCTGTTAGAGTGAAGAATATTAGCAAAGGCACCGAGAAGGAATAATCGTGGCCTGTTTATCAAACGGTAAGGAAATTAGACTGGCTTGAGTCCATCTGGGGGCAGCTGTGGGAAGTACAGCTGTTTAATTAGAGTAAAGCCTATTGCGAAGCATGTTGAATGTCAAGCAGAGGAATTCATACATATTCCTGGAAGCAGTGGGGAGTCATGAATCTTTCAGTAAAATAATAACAACTTTTAAAATTTTGTTTTAGAAAGACTACTGCAGTAGTTGAATGAGGAGAAACTAGGAAGACCTTTTCAGAAGGTGATTGTAATATTTCAAGTAAGAATGATCAGACATGAACTAAGTGCAGAGGAATTTGGGTTTGTGTGTGTATCACTTCCTTAACTCGAGTTTTGTATTATTAGCTTGTAATGGATCATGTATGGAAGACCTCTCGTGCCCCACTTAAAATGTTCCCGTCCCCGCTCCTTCCAGCCACTGCTGCAGTGAACAGTTTATCCAACCAGCTTCACGCAGCAGCACACTGAGAATGCCTCTTCTCACTGCCCATCCCTGGCTTCTCAGATGCAGTGGCTGGCTGGGGTGTCTCAGGCAACCCATGGGGCACTCACTCATACACCCCAAAAATGTGGGGTAACAACATCCTGTGAAAGAATCGTCTTCACTGGGGATGGGAGCTCTTGAGTCAATGCTTCTCCTGTTCTCCCCACCGCACAGTTCTGAGACACACTCCAGAGACACACTTCCTTGGGGGAATCCAGGCTAAGAGAGAACAGGATCCTCCTCATTCTCTGGTGCCACCATAATGGAACCTCACATGCTGTTCTGCCCACAGTAGGAGCTTCAGATCTTCATGACTCACCCTTATGTTGAATAGCTAGTATCTCCTTTGACCTTTTTAATCTTTCTTTTTTTTAGTCTGAGACAGAGTCTCACTCGGTCTCACCCAGGCTGGAGTACAGTGGTGCATGATCTCGGCTCACTGCAGCCTCCGCCTCCCAGGTTCATGTCTCAGCCCCTGAGTAGCTGGGACTACAGGCATGTGCCATCACACCCAGCTAATTTTGTATTTTTACTTGAGACGAGGTTTCACCATGTTGGCCAGGCTGGTCTTGAACTCCTGGCGTCAGGTGATTCACCCACCTTGGCCTCCCAAAGTGCTGGGATTACAGGCATGAGCCACTGCACCTGGCAACCTTTTTAATTTTTAAAAACAGATTTGTAGAACTGACTCGGTCCCATATACTCTGCAGTAGTTTTAAGCCTGTAGGGTGGTAATTTAGGATACTGGCAAGAGCAGAGAATTTAGAATCATAAGATCTAGATTTGAGCCTCACTACCAACTAGATGAGTGACCAAGGGCAAGACATATACCTCTTGCAGTCTTCAGTATCCTCGTCCGTAAGATAGGTGTGTTAGTAGTTACCGATCTTCACAATGTTCTTGTATCAAGCAGGACCCTGCGTGTGTGGTGAGCATTTGCTAATTTCAGCGCTCAGCTTCCATTTTCCCTTCCTCTTGGTTATGTGATTCCAGTTTTTGTTTGGATGGCTATCACCTTTCCCCAGGGCATCCTATGTTTTACCACCATTCTCCTCTCTACCCCCAGCTTTAGGGTAGGCCCTAAATAAAATATTTTTAATCTAAAGGGACTATGCATCATTTCCCTGGCTATATTGATTTTAAAAAGCAAGAAGAAATTTACTGGCAGATCTGATCACCCTTCTGAGGGAGCAATCAAGTAAGACAGCATGTAGCCCCTGGAGACTGCTAGAAATCATCATGTGGCCCTAAGGAGGGCCAGCCTAACAATGAAGCAGAAAGAGGGGTGGTGAGATTACTGAACTTTTGAGTCAAGTCACATCCAAAGCCCATGTGACCTCTGATCTTTTCAGATAAATGAGTTATTAAATATTTTATTTAAACCAGTGTAAGTCAGGCTTTCTCTTATCAGGGACAGAAAGACTCTCAACTGATAGAGTATATAAGCAAGCTTTGTAACTTGCAAATGAATATAAAACACTTTTAAAATTATTTTTCCACTGTGAAGTAGCAAGAATACCTGTGACCCATGGGGCAGGTTGAGAAAAATTTCTAAGCTTTTATTTTAATTTAGTACCCTTTTTTGGAGAAAATTGGAACCGACTGACAGTATGTTCAGAACTAGATCCCAAAAAGAATAATTACATATGTAAAAAGAAACAGGCATTTTAAAACCTATACAACTGAGTGAGTTGTGTGTGACACTGAGTGAGAATATGATGTATTCTTATATTCAAATATGTATAAAATTCACAAGTCATAAAAGTAAAGACTGTTAGATTCGGCTACGTAAAAATACAAAAACTTATATATGGCAAAAAAAAAAAAAAAAAGAAAGAAAGAAAGAAAAGAAAAGAAAAAAGAAACCCACAGAGTTTAATGTGAGTAATGAACTGAGGGAAATTTTTGGAGCTTATATGAAAGATCAGTTGATAGCCTCAATATACAAAGAGTTCTTATAAATCAATAAGAAAACAATCTTAATTGGTAAAAGATTTTATCATAAAATTTGAAGAACATATGAAAAGATGCTAAAGTTAAGATCAAAGTCAAGGGCTATCAGGTTTAAAAAGGTTACTAATAATTATATACATCAAGTTCTAGGCACTATAAGAATTATCTCACAGAGATGCATATACAAGAATGATCATTATAGAGTTAAAAAATAAAAACCAATGTTTAACAATAAAAACTGGTAAAATATATTTTGATATAATCTTATATTGAAATACATGTTGGAACCATTAAAAAAGATCAGGTAGGCCGGCCGCGGTGGCTCAAGCCTATAATCCCAGCGCTTTGGGAGGCTGAGACAGGCAGATCACGAGGTTGGGAGATTGAGATCATCCTGGCTAACACGGTGAAACCCCGTCTCTACTAAGAAAAATACAAAAAACTAGCCGGGTGAGGTGGTGGACGCCTGTAGTCCCAGGCTACTGAGGAGGCTGAGGCAGGAGAATGGCATAAACCCGGGAGGTGGAGCTTGCAGTGAGCTGAGATCCGGCCTCTGCACTCCAGCCCGGGCGACAGAGCGAGACTCTGTCTCAAAATAAAAAGATCAGGTAGGCCTTTTGGTGTTACCATGGAAAGAAGTGTGCTATATTGTTTGAGGATATTAAACAACATACAGAATGATCCTATTTATATTAAAATATACATTAACATATGCATTAAAAGTCTGAAGGTAAATGCCAACAATTAACAATGGTTATATCTCAGGTGTAGAATTGCATAGAGGCCGTTTTATGTAAAGCTTTCACAAAATTCAAGCAGTACAAAAATATTTTTATTTTAAAATAAATAAGTGAGGAGATATCAGAGAGAAATTCAGTTTGGGTAATCTGTGACCCCTTGAAGGTAGAATGCGTTCCTCTAGTCCTGGGTTTCTGCATGTCAGTGACGTGCCCAGCAGGTGATAGTCCTGTTGTGTTAGGGAAGGGTGGAAGGAAGGAGGAGGAGGAGCATGAGAGAAGAAAATATTTTCCCCAACCAGGAAACTAGAAATTTCACAGGGAGCAACAGGGGAGCATAAGGAGTTGCATTTCTAGCATTCACTGTCCTAGAGTTGGCTCCTTGAAGCCTGTGCAGTTGCCATTGCTGTTTTGCCAGGTTCTGGCTGTAAGGCCCAGTGACTGTCTCCTTCCCCACTATTGCCCAACCCAGGGTTTCTGGTAACTGATCTCATCCCTCCTCTGCCCTTTGGACTTGACTTTGGACTAATTTGACAACACATCAGTCAGCCCCATTATGAACAACTAAAGTCTGATGTGATCCATGAGATTAGGACCTGAGATGAGTTGGCATCTCTTCACTTCCACCCCCGCCAGAAGAAACTGGAGTTTGGAGTCTCTAGATAAGAAGCCACAGGAGGAACGACACAAACAAGCTTTGGGCTCCCTTGTTTCATGTCTTGTGATCAACTTAGATGAGTTATGAGAAAGTTCTCTTGGCTGAATCCTAGCCTTGCACAACTCAAAAGGATCAGAAATTCTCAGTGTGTAATTCTTTAGATAAAAAATGAAGCTTAGAAAACTTATGTAACTTCCTCTAAGCCCATAACAAATTTGCAGTAACGCCAACATGAGAACCCAATTCTCCCCGACACTGTGGACTCCCGACCTCAGGCGCGGCTATTTCCGCTCTGCATGCATGTCTTTGGCTGCTGCATTTCCAGCTGCAGGATTCCAGAGCTTCAGGGATTTGTGAAGAGTGAACTTTGACACCTTCACTCAAAATAGAGAATTGAAAACGAAAATGTAGCATTGAATGCTTTTACTGTAATGCCTAGTGTTGTCAATGTCAGTAGTATTGCAGTGTCATATCATCGATGTGATATTTGTTCATTCATCTATTCATTCATTTATCAACATTTCTGAGCATGTACATCATGCAAGGCCCTGCAGCAGAAAAAAATTAAATAAAACCACACAGCAGTAACAAAGGGGCCATATAACCCAGCAATAATTTTAAGCCTTACATCTTTATTCAGTCAGTCTGGTCCTGTCCCCTAGACCCCTGGCCTTCGGGCTTGGCAATCCTTGTATAGAGAATTACTATATCATTGCACAGCACTCAGTTTACTGGAGACCCTCTAGCAACATTCAATTGCAATCAACTCTTGGAGGCAAACCCTGTGAATATGGTAGCTGTGTATGGTGGTTGCATGGATGTTCTCAAGGATAAAATGCAGGAAGCTTTCACTTTTTACATGTCGTCTGCCACTGGAATCTCAGGATCCTTAGCATCACTCACAGTAAGTTCTTCCAGGGAAAACAGTATGCACCATCTAGCAGACACCAAGACCCAATCTTAATACCTTGAACAATTATAGATAATCCCACTGGCTCAGTCAAGACCCAGCAAGTTAATTTTGGTTACAAAGAAAACATGGCTGTGTGTTAGTAGACTCTCAAACTATTATATCTTAGGAACAGTGTGTCTGAAAATGGGCTTTTTTTGTGTCAGAATGGCTATCTGTACATGTTTTGAGGAAGCATTTGGGGAAGCCTGAAGGCGCAATGCTGTTGGTGTCATGATCACTGACACCATTGACAGCCAGTTATATTGCACATGTGGCCCAGCATGTGCCAAGGAGCCTGAGTCTACTGAAGGACACTATGTATTGAAGCCAAGGGCAGAAGGAGGCATGCTACGGTCCCTGAGATCATCTTCAGCACTCTGAAGGGTAATAATCCTCTGCCTCCACCATAGATTTGCATTATCAAGAGAAGATACAGGTTTCTCATCGGCTTTTGGAAAATCTGGGTGACAGACTAGTCTGATGTCTTAAAAAAAGAATGTTGAAGTCCAACATTTAGATGGAAAGAAAAGGATACTAAACCTCACATCTTACATAAAAACTAACTCAAACTGGACCACAGATCTAAATGGAAAATGTAAACTATAAAACTTTTGGAAGAAATCATCAGAGAAAATGTTTGTGGCCTTGGTGTATGCAAAGAATTCCTACATAAGATATCAAAAGCATGATCCATAAATGAGCAACTGATAAATTGAAGTTTGTCAAAATTAAAAATTTTACTCTGCAAAAGACAAGAGAATAAAAAGAGAAGCTAGATTGGTAGAAATTATTGCAAACCACATGCCTGATGAAAGACTTGTACTCAGAATACAACATAACTTTCAAAACTCAATAGTAAGAAAACAAACAACCCAATTAGAAAATGAACAAAAGATCTGAACAGATATTTTACTAAAGAAGATGTATGATAGGAAGTAAGCACATGAAAAAATGCTCAACATCACTTGCCACTTGGTAAATGCAAATTAAAACCAAAATGAGATGCTACTACATACCTATTAAGTAGAATGACCAAAAAATAAATATATAAAAAACAACTCATAATATCCAGCATCTTAGCCCATTTTATGTTGCTATAATAAAATACCAGAGACTGGGTAATTTACAAAGAACAGAAATTTATTTCTTACAGTTCTGGAGGATGGGAAGTCTAAGAGCATGGCAGTGAGGCATCTGGTGAGGGCCTTCTTGCTGCATCACAAGATGGCAGAAGACATCACAGAGAGAGAGGGGCCCACAAGAGAGAACTGAACTGGCTTTTATAACAGACCCTCCCTTGTGATAACTAACCAACTCCCATGGTAACCCATTAATCCATTAGCCCGTTAATCAATTAATTCATGAAATGATTAATCCATTCATGACACAGAGCCCTCATGACCCAATCGCTTCTCAAAGGTTCCAACTCTCAACATTGCCACACTGGGACCAAGTTTCCAACACATGAACTTTTAGAGGACTTTAAAACCATAGCACTAAGTGCTGACAAGAATGCAGAGGAACTGGAACTCATATATTTCTGAGAACGACAACTGATACAGTCCCTGTAGAAAACAGTTTAGTAGATTTTATTAAGTTAAACAAAGATTTATCATATAACCTAGTAATCCTATTCATAGGTATAGAAATGAAAACAGAAAAAACAGAAGCTGCGACTGGGACTGGTAGTGCATGCCTTGGGAGGCCAAGGCAAGAGGATTACTTCAGGCCAGGAGTTTGAGGTTGCAGTGAGCTATGATTGCACCACTGCACTCCAGCCTGGGCAACAGAGCAAGACCCCATCTTTTTAAAGAAAACTAAAAAAAAGAAAAGCTAGAAAGAACCCAGTGTCCTTCAAGAAGTTAAGGAATAAACTGTGGTGCTTCCAGACAATGGAACACTACTCAGCAACAAAAAGGAATGAACTGGCCTGGCGTGGTGGCTCACTCCTGTAATCCCAGCACTTTGGGAGGCCAAGGCGGGCCGATCACCTGAGGTCAGGAGTTTGAGACCAACCTGGACAACATGGTGAAACCCTGTCTCTACTAAAAATACAAAAATGGTCCAGGCATGCTGGCTCACACCTAT